CTGCCTGCCGGGGCCGCCGGGGCTCCACGTTCGGGCGAGGGGGCTGCGGCCGAGTTGGCACCGGCGACCGCCGCTGCAGGTGGGTGTGCGTTGGGGGGGGGGGGGTCGGCTCACCTGCGTCGGCTGCCCCCTGTCGAGCCGTTTGTGGCTACGGGTGGGGACTGGGCGGACTTCCAGGCCCGCTTCGTGGTGGCCTACCAGTCGGTGCACTGGCCGGAGGAGGAGGCCCTGTTAGCGCTGCCCACATGCTTCGACGCTAGGGCCTTGCACACCTATTCAGGCATTTCTCCAGCGCTAAAGTCTACGCTGGGGTCCGCCCTTGCTCGCATGGCTGCGGTCTATGAGCCACCATCTGCGGCGCGACTCAAGTTCGCGGCGCGCCGGCGGGAGGAGGGGGAGTCGCCTCTCGCTTTTCGCTGCTCCCTCCTTGCGCTGGCTCAGGCCGCATACCCAGACGTGGAGAGGGCTGCGATGGACTCTCTGGAAATGGACAGGCTGCTGGATCTCGCGGCGGAGTTAGGAGTCAGTCTGTCCATCGCAGCAGAGTCCGAGATTATATCGTTGGCCGTCGCCCAGAACATTCAAGTTCAACTGGCGCTGCGGCATCCCCGGGTGATGGCGGCGTGCGTGGGTGCTCCAGCACCAGCGGATGTGGTGGCGGGCCGGGAGGAAGAGGCTTTCGCGGCGGCGGCGACCTACGATCGCCGCGGGGTCGGCGGATCTGCTCGCCGAACAGGGGCGGGGCGGGGCGAGCGGCTCCTTACCGTTCGCAAGGCCGGGGGCGGGTCACTTGCTTCCGTTGTGGCCAGCTGGGCCACTTCGAGAGAGGGTGCAACAACGCTCCCGGGGCCTACACCAAGGCCTCTCCTCCCGCAGACGTCCCTCCAGCGGTGGTACCTCCCGGGCACCAGGCAAGTCACGACGCATCCATCGCACGGCCGCTCCCTTCACCTCAGGCATCTCACGGGGTTAGGGTCCATCTTCACGGGCCCATCTCTGGGGGTCCGACTCGGGAGTCGTGGGAGTGCGGTCGACGACTGGCTGGCCCAGACGGACTCGCCAGTGGCGGGCCCTCGCGCATAGCATGGTGGCCGCTGCTGCCGGCTCCTCGGCCGTGCTGGGGTGCGTGCAGGGGGTTGAGGTACGGATCCTGGTGGATACGGGGGTGTCCGCCACCATGGTGTCCGAGGCCATTTTTCGATCACTCCCGCGCAGTGTGGGGCCGTTGCGGCCGGTTCGGGGGGTGTGCGTGGCTGCAAACAGTAGCAGCCTGGGTATTTTGGGCCATGTTATTGCATCTGTGGCGATCGGGGAGATCGCGTTGCGGGGACCCGTGTTGGTCTCCAAGGCTTTGGCGATGTCGTGTCTATTGGGCACGGATTTTTTGGCCAGAATGCCCGTCCGGATCCTGGTCGACCAGGGGTGTGTTGAAATGCCGTCGGGGAACCGACTGCATTTCCTACAGTTTTCCTCTGTGGTGGCTCCCTTGGCCGCTAGTGTTCGTGCGCTGACCACAAAATCCGTGACGGTCCCACCCGGGTCACAGATCCTACTTCCCCTGAGGCTGCGCAGCCCGCTGATGTTGGAGTCCCCGGAGACAGGTATCCTCCTGTCTCCCTCCAATTATTTTTAAAGGTTCGACCGGCTGGTGGGCGATTTCACTGCAGTGGCGGCGGGCCAAGATCTTTTTTTGCAGGTCCTAAATTCGGGGCCCACGCCGATCGCTGTCCCTGTTGGTGCGGTGTTGGCTCATACCACCCCAGGCCCTCCTCCCGACGTCCAGTGGTCGCCGGGAGGGGTGGTAGCGGCTGTGCTGCCCGCGGGGAGGCCCGACGCATCGTGGATTGATGCGTTGTGCACCAAAAACACCTCGTTGTCCTCCCAGGAGCGGCAGCGGCTCCGCGACCTCGTTGTCAGGTTCGCCGATGTGTTCAGCCAGGGTAAATTCGATTTGGAACGTACCACTCTTCTTGAATACCATATTGACACGGGCAACTCTGCCCCTATTTGGCTGAATTCACACCGCTTTAGCCCAGAGGAAAAAGATCATGTCCGCTCCGCAGTTGATGACATGTTGGCGGCGGACATTATCTCCCTTTCCACTAGCCCCTGGGGAGCCCCCATCGTGCTAGTCAAGAAACGGGACGGGAGTCTCCGATTCTGCGTCGACTTCCGTAAGTTAAACAAGGTTTCGGTGGCCGATGCGTACCCTTTACCTCGCATGGACGATTCCCTCGACGCCCTCTCGGGTGCGCGGTTCTTTTCGACCATCAATTTGCTTTCGGGCTTCTGGCAGTTTCCACTGGATGAGTCCTCCAAACCCAAGACCGCGTTCCGCACACCCCAAGGGCTGTTTCAATTCAATCGGCTTCCGATGGGTCTTCATTCGGCCCCGGCCACCTTTCAGCGCCTCATGGAATTGGTCCTGGCAGGGCTGCAGTGGGAGTCTTGCTTAATTTACTTGGACGACATCATAGTTTTTGGTGGTACGTTTGACGAACACTTGCTGCGGTTGGAGGCCGTGTTCGTCAAAGTGAGCGCCGCGGGCTTGAAATTCAAACCCCAGAAATGCCATCTGCTGCAACCATTGGTGAAGTATTTGGGCCACATTGTGAGTGCGTCAGGTGTGGCCACGGATCCGGAAAAGACTGCTTGTGTCCGGATGTGGCCGACTCCTACATATGTCGCTGAGGTGCGAAGCTTTATGAGCTTCGCATCGTTCTATCGCCGGTTCGTCCGGGATTTTTTGCGACCATTGCGAAGCCGCCGCACGCACTCTCTGCCAAAGGACAGACATTTCGCTGGGGAGAAAAGGAGGAGGCCGCTTTTGCGGCGCTTCGTACGGCCTTGGCGGACGCGCCGCCTCTGGGGTACCCGGATTTCTCCCGGCCATTCCTCCTCGACACCGACGCCAGCGACACGGGCATCGGGGCTGTCCTGGCTCAAGTTGTCGACAGGGTGGAATGGGTGGTGGCTTATGGTAGCCGCATTTTGTCCCCCACTGAGCAGCGGTACTGTGTGACCAGGAGAGAGTTGCTGGCCATTGTCTTCTTCGTCCAATTGTACAGGCCATATCTGTATGGTCACCGGTTCACCGTCCGGACCGACCATGCAGCCCTGCAATATTCCCTCCGAATTGACCAGCCCTCGGGTCAGCTGTCCCGCTGGCTCGAGGTGCTCCAGGAGTACCCCTTCGATGTCATCCACAGGAAGGGGACTCTGCATGGGAATGCGGATGGCCTTTCCAGGCGGCCCCCGGAGGGCAAGTGCACCTGCACCCTGGGTTACAGCCGCTGTAAGGCCCCAGCGGATACCACGGCCCAGTTGTTCGCATCGGCCGAAGCGGCGCCCGCGCCGGGGGTGGCGTTGCCTGTGGATTTTGGCCCGGGGCTCCCCCGGGAGGTATGGGCCCAGATGCAGATGGAGGATTCCTCTCTGCTGAGGCTGCGACGCCGTGTTGGGACTATGGCCCGGAGCTCGGCTCCGTCGGCTGCCCCGGAGATCGCCATTCATGACGGCCTCCTCATGCATTGGGATGCCCAGTTGGAACGGTATTGCGTGGTGGTGCCCATTGGCTTGCGAGGTAAGTTGACGCGGGCCATTCACGAGAAACTTATGCACCTCGACTACCACAAGACCCTGTTGACCCTTAAGCGGGACTACTATTGGCCGGATGTGGAGGATGATGTGGCGATCATTTTTAAGGGTTGCCACGACTGTGCGCGGAGGAAGGCCCCAGTTGGTCAGGATCGGGCCCCGCTGCAGTCCATCCGGGTTTCTCGTGTGAATGAGCTCGTGGCGCTCGATATCTTAGGGCCCTTCCCTGCATCCCAACGGGGACACAAATACCCCTTGGTGGGGGTGGAATACCTCACACGTTGGCCCATGGCGTGGCCCCTGGTGGACCAATCAGCCTCGTCCATCACAGAGGCATTTGTACAAGGGTATGATCTCGATAAGGGGGCGCCAGAACGACTCTTAACCGATCAAGGGCAGAATTTTTCTTCACGATTACTCAAGGAGGTCTGTGACCTCCGTGGGACGAAGAAGGTCCGCACCTCGCCCTACCATCCCCAGTCCGACGGGATGGTAGAACGTTTGAACCGCACACTCACATCCATGTTGTGCCATCACGTGAGCACGTCCCAATCGGACTGGGACCTGTTCATCCCGGGGGTACTGGCCACGTACAGGATGGCCCCACATGCCTCGACGGGGTTCTCCCCCTTTTACCTTATGTATGGGAGAGAACCCGAGCCCCCAGTGTTGGTCCAACTGGACCCCGGGGCAGGCAAGAGGGGTTCCTCCATTCCCCTTCGAATGAAGGTTGCGCTTGATCGCCTGTGCGAAGCACGTCAAGCGGCCTTGGAGAACTCGGCCAGCCAACAGGCGGCCGCGGAGCGCTTGCCTAAACATCAGGCGAGGGGTCGACCATGGGAGGCGGGGCAGTTGGCGTGGCTGCACTGTCCTCAGGTGCCAGTGGGCACCTCCCCTAAATTACATCGGCCATGGCAGGGCCCCGTTGAGGTGGCTGGTGTCCGCCGGCCTCGATGTGTCCGGATCCGGTTGGGCCGGCGCCACTGGACCGCTGCACCCGTCGTGGCTCAAGCGGGTCGTTCCGCCCGCCTTCCTTGATTCATCACCAATTCCGGGACAGTCGGCGGTGGACGCGTCCGACGGGCCGGGTCCTGGGGGTCGGGGGGATGTCACCGTTAACTTGCCCTCCTGTGCGCCCCCAGAGCTACCGCCGTTGATGCCGCCGGCTGCGGACCGGCCGGGGGAGGTCCTTGTGGAGGCCCAGTCTCCGTCCGGACCACCGCCGGTTACCGGGATGGACGCCGCAGGGAGCGGTGGGCCGCTGTTGGAGGCGCCTGTTGCGCCGCCGCCGAAGAAATCACCAACGGCGCCTGGCCCTGGCCACGGACCATCTGGCCCGCCACCTCCATGGGCCGACGCCGAGTGCGGGGACGGCCCAGCGGCAGGCGCATACGCAGATGGACGGCAGAACCGTCCGCGGTCATCCCGCTCGTCGCCACTCGCCGTGCCGGGTGGTGGCTACGCCCAGCCTTGTGTTGCACCGGCTTGCCCCAATGTTCTGTTCTTCTAGCAGCTGGTCGGGGTTCGCGTTTTGGGGTCACGAGCGTCGGTCGTCATCAGGGCCGCTCATAGGGGGGGGTTGCAGCCGGGTCGGCTGAGTTTTTTTTACGGGGGGGGGGGGGGGGGTGATGTTGAGGAGTGGAGTGCTGACGTCAGGTCACACTCGCCTCGGGGGAATGCCGTCAGGGTAAAGTGACGTCGTGCCCCCCGAGGTATTTGAGGGGAGACCCGTGACGTGGACGGGGTCTTCGCCGAGAGTCAGAGGAGTGAGTGTTAGGGGAGTAGGGGGCTCCGGGATAGAGGGTAGAGAGCCAGGCTAAAGGGGGGCTACTTTACCCGGCTGGCCGAGTTGGATGAAACCTCGGTCAGCGCTGTGGGAAGAGCCCGATAGCCTGGTGGGGTGTAGGGAACTCCCAGTACCCTTCCCCTGGGGAGATTAGTTAATAACCCTTGTGTTAACCGCTTCCCCCGAGTGAGGCGTAAGCCCTAAATAAATGTTTGGCGTCAGCCCCTACACGACCGGCTTCAGCGTCCTTTTCTACCACGCAACAGTAGTAGTCGCAGCAGTAGTAGTAGTATCAGCAGTAGTAGTAGTAGCAGCAGTAGTAGCAGCAGTAGTAGCAGCAGTAGTAGTAGTAGCAGCAGTAGTAGTAGTAGCAGCAGTAGTAGCAGCAGTAATAGCAGCAGTAATAGTAGCAGTAGTAGTAGCAGCAGTAGTAGCAGCAGCAGTAGTATCAGCAGCAGTAGCAGTAGTTCGATTCCAGATAACAGCCACTACCAAAGATCAAGGATCCCGCCCCCCCGTGTAGCCTTAACAGACTGGTGGGGCAAGTGCTGTTAGCGAGTAGCACCTATGAAGGCCGGCACTATGGCACACGAGGGGGTGGGTGGCCAGCACCACGCCCGGCTGCCTTTGTCTCCCCAGCGGCGAAGTTTACCACACACCGCACCAGGTACTCATTTGAGGCCGAGTCGACCTAGAGGAGGCCCAGGACCCGGTTTTGTGGTGGTGTTGGTCAATAACAATCAATCACAGGCCGCACAAACTTCCTCACTAACCATGCGTGCGGTTAGCAGACCGCTTAACGGTGACGACCACTCGCCACACGCCACACACTCGCCCACACGCCACACACTCGCCCACCTTCGGGCCCGGCCCTCTTGCCGCCGCGCTTGTCCCTGCCGCCGTTCCGGGCGGCCCGTCCCCTACGGCGTCCTGGCCGGGTGCTGCTGCCGCCGCCGCCGCCGCCGTTACAGGGGCTACAGGGACTACAGGGACTACAGGGGCTACAGGGGCTACAGCGGCGGTGGCGGTGGCGGCGAGCTTGCCGGCTGGCCTGGCGGGTCTCCCGGCGGTGCCGGTGACGACGCCGATGATCTTCCTGTGGTGCTCCAGAGGCCGCCGCTGGGCCGTGCCGCTGTCCGAGTCCTGGGGCCGGGGAGCGGAGGCAGCGCGAGGCGAGCGAGTGATGGGCCAGGAGGGGGGGGCACAGAGCGAGGCGAGCCAGCAATGAGCGGGGGGGGGGGTCAGAGGAAGGGCTGAGGCCAGGCGCAGGGCCCGGCGTGCGTGGCGGTGGAGGTGCGGTAGTGGCGGTGGTGGTGCGGTAGCGGTGGTGGTGGTGGTGGTGGTGGTGCGGTGCGGTGGTGGTGTGGTGGTGGTGGTGCGGTGGTGGTGCAGTGGTGGTGCGGTGGTGATGGTGGTATCGATGGTGCGGTGGTGGTGGTGGTGGTTGGGAGCGGAGCTGCGCTACCAACGCGGCAAGTTTAATTGGTGGAGGCGCCCACCCGCTCGCTCACCCAATCATCACCCCCACCCACCTGCTCACTCACTCACCTCACCCACCCACGCGAGCATATCGGTGGGTCATATACAGGCCGGCGTGGTGGTGTGGCGTGCACTGGCGTGGTGGTGTGGTGGTGTGGTGGGGGGTGGTGTGGTGGGGGGTGGTGTGGGGGTGCTGGGGGGGTGTTGTGGTGGGGGCTGGGGGGGTGTTGTGGAGTGATCACCTCGTTACTCTCGAGCGACCCGTCCCTGCTCAGTCCTGGCAGTCGTGCCGGCTTCTCACCGTCACCACCGCCACCACCACCGCCATCACCACCACCGCCATCACCACCACCGCCATCACCGCCACCACCACAGCCACCACCACCGCCACCACCGCCGCCACCACCACTTGGCACCGTCTCCGCCGTGGTGCCGAAGATGGTCCTCTCCCCTACGGCACAGCGGTAGGGAGCTGTCCTTGGTCTACTCTTCCACGTGCAGCAGCAGGCAGGTAGCAGACACTTTACCGCACCGCACGCAACACTCCGACCGACTGTGGTGTTACCACGTGTTGTGTATATGCCCCTTTTTCCAAAAATATATACAACACACGGCAGCTGGGAGCTATCGGTTGGCTA